GTTTGCTCTTTGGTTGGATAATTAGTTAATTGGCAAGATCTTTCACAAGGTTATTAGTTTGTCATAATCTTAAGACAATCGGTACCTCCCCGTCTCCCCCAAAATCATACACCACACCTCCGAAAGATTCACGGGAGTGGCAAATCCTCACACTTTGTCTTACCTTTTTTTTTTGTTTTAATTAATTAATTAATTAATTAATTAATTAATTTATTTATTTAATTATTTATTATCATATCTTAATCGTGTAAAAGGGCAATTCGTCGTGTGTAATGTCTCGTTACTTGTTCGTCTTTCAATTGATACCGGCCTCAAATGAGATGACAACTGGTATCTCTACTGGGAAAAATAATTAGTCATAACATGTTTAAACCAGCTTGCAAAATCCTATAATTGATGATTCACTCGCCCCTTTTCTGCTTTATTCCTGCATTGCTGTAACATCTAATTTCTTCTTGCACATTCTGATACTACAAACAGGAGTCACGTTTTTTATAAGAAGTAATCAGTAACAAACATGTCTTTGCGGAATGTATTTAAGAGTGCCTCGACAATTCCCTGGCCAAACTGATGTCTTCAAGAAACAGAGTGTTTTCTGTTATCCCAGGAACAGCGTTGTCAGTATTTTTTATTTTTTATTTTTTTGGTTGCTGTTGTTGTTTGTTTCGTTTTGTGTTTGTTTTTTTGCATCGCCTGATTCATTGGAATTGAACTGAAGTTTAATGATCACCATCAAAGGTTGATGGCTGTTGAAGAAGTTATTTCTTAAAGGAAACACTGCGGGATGATAGAAACTCTTCATACAGGTACGAGCCTGAACATAAACCACTTTTACCAAGGCAAACAAAAAGAGATAAGAAAAAGAAAGAGAAAAAAAAGAAAAAGAAGGAAAAACAAATTGTAACATAGCGTGCGCGCGGCTCCTACCTAACATCTATTGAGCCCTTAAGGTAGAAATCCTTATATACTCACGGCTGTGCGTATATAACACGACGTTTGCAGTTTTATTTTAGTTGCAAAATTTCCGTCGAGTTCCACTCCAAACTTTTGACTTTCGCCAAGCTAAGATGTTTACTAAAACTTAAGTATTTTGACTTGGTTTGTCCATATTTTCATCGAGTATTTTTGACTTGCTTACTTATCCTTCACATTTTTAATACAGTTTATTCAAAGCGCATTTTTCATTGACAATTTTAGAAACCAGAGGAAGCGTGTTATTCAACCGACGCCTACATGTAAGTGATTGTGGCGTGTTTCTAACTAGTCAGCTGGATCCTTTGTTTTCCTTCGCCGTGCATTGCGAGAACTTTGTAGTCAATGACAAATAAAACCTGTTTTAGCGCCCAAGTTGTTGTCGCTGTTATATCGAGTTATGGATGCACTTGGAAAGTTTGGAGAGCACTTAAGAAGCTAGAGTTGCTCTCGGTTACGCCTCAAGCAACTCTTACGCTTCTTTCGTGCTGTTCAAACTTCCCGCGTGTATCCATAGCTCGTTAAATAATAACCTGTTATTCCCGCGTTTGATTGGTTTTCGCCTATGATCTATTAGAGGACAGACGCACGACTTACGTCATCATTACGAAGTTTTTCCTTCGCTACTTTTTTTTAATCAAAATGGGGGAAACTTTTGCAAACTTAGAGGACATTTTACCTGACTGGGTGAAGGATGATATAGAAGAAAGTCTCGCTCAGGCCATGGCTTTGTACGAGAAACAAGAGGAACAAAAGACTCGTTTCTTTGTGGAAGATATAAAGCTTCAAAATATACTTGAGCAGTTGCAGTCCAACGCGACCAAACGAGATACAAAATGGGTCGTAAAATTATTTCAAGGTAAGGACCCAATGCTTTGCTTCGTATTTAACAAACTCATAAAGCAGGACGTTTGTGAGATTAATTCAAAAATTCAACTTTTCTCAGTCTCAAAATATTTGTTTACGCAGATTGGTGTAACGAAAGAAACACCACAACACCGCTTGTTGAAATGAGAACGGTGGAATAAGACCGAAACCTGGCAAGATTTTATGTGGAAGCTAGAACATAAAAAGGTGAAGAGTACAGCCGCTCAGCTCTTCTCGGCTTTCGCAGTTCAGTTGAACGACACCTAAACAACAATGGCGTCACAGTGAAAATTTCAAATAATCAAGTATTTCAAAACAGCAACAAAATTCTCGACGCCAAGCTCAGAATCAACCGCCGCGCTGGCAAAGAAAATGTTCAACACAAACCAGTTCTTGAAGCGACTAACCTTGTTAAAATTCGAGCAAGCCCGTTCCTTAGCATGACAACTCCAGCCGGACTGCTGGGAAGAACGTGGTTTTACGTTTCTTTTTACTGGAGCAGACTTGGGAGAGAGGGCTAGCTAGAACTTCGCCGCGACAGTTTCGAGTTTACGCACGTTGCCAATGGCCGCGAGTACGCGGTCATGACCCATAAAGAAGCCACGAAAAAAACATCCCGGTGGTGAAAACAGCAAGCCCTCGGCTGAACGAGAAACAAGGCTTTATAGCACTGGAGCAGATGACGATGCCTTTGCCAGTCTAAAGTTTTTTTGCAGCAAAACTAAACCCGTCTTGCACAGCGTTTTTCCAATATCCAAAACCAAGCGTGACAAAGTAAGACACCGTTTGGTACGAAAACAGACCATTTGGTGTTAACAAGCTGTGTGACATGATGAAACTTATATCTCTTGGAGCAGAGCTCTCGCAGATATACACCAGCCACTCCGTCATGGCGTCTGCGATTACTTTGCTTTCTGACGCGAATGTTCCAGACCGCCAAATCATGTTCGTTTAATTTCAGGGCACAGCAGCGAGCAAAGTCAGTTTCAAGTTTACGCACGATGCCAATGGCCGCGAACAGATGAACAACAACATGGAATCTATTGGTTAAATATGCGCACGCTAAGCATGAACCAATTCAAAAACAACAACAACAAAAAACATGGACAAACGCTACACAATATGGAGGCTTTGCGTGGTCGCATAGAAATAGCCATAACCATAGCTTTGTTAATCAGTGACGTAAAAAACGAAGAAGAATTTGTAGTTTGTTCTAATTTATTCTTATCCAACACACGACAACAAAACTAATGTTTGTGGTGCAAAACGTTTTAAATTTCACATCACAAACTGCGTGCGTAACTCATTATGACCCTCTTTGTGTAGCTTCAGTCTACTTACATGGTAATTTTGGAAAAAAAAAAAAAAAAAAAAAAAA